ACTTTATTCTCATAATGTTACGACTTTATTCTCGTAATATTACGGCTTTATTCTCATAATGTTACAACTTTATTCTCGTAATATTACGACTTTATTCTCATAATGTTACGACTTTATTCTCGTAATATTACGGCTTTATTCTCATAATGTTACAACTTTATTCTCGTAATGTTATGACTTTATTCTCAAAAATAAAAAAATCCCTACCCTGGCCCTAATACTCGTAGATAATAAATCATTACAACCTAAAGATAAAGAAAGTTTTGTCGGATTTAAGTTTCTCAAAAGATAAACAGATGTTTTTTTTATTTTATTTATGTTTGTATATATAAATGTGTTTGTCATGAAGTGAAGAACTTTTGAGTTTTCTTCTCCAACTGGAAGTGATGCCTGTGAACTGGAGCTGAAACAGAGATGTCTTCTTTGGCTGGTGTTGGAGTTTCGTTTGTGTTGCAGCGCTGCCCTCTGGTGGCCGAAGAGAGCAGTGCTCAGTGTTCAGCTCGTCTCCACTGTTGTTTCAATGTTTGCCTGCAGTGGTCTCTTGTAACTGTGAGTGTTTGTACATTTTTTAAGGACTTGTTGACTCGCTGAGTAATTTCCTCAGGATTTGTAGCAAAGTGCAGCTTGAAGAGAGAAATGCTCCCTTCATTCCACGCTGCCAGAACACAGGAGGGGAAGAACTACATGTTACAACCCAGCAGCCGGTACATTCACACTGTAACTATGAACAATCATGCATTTGTACAGTGTTACTTTTCTATGATGAATTTGTTAACCTAAAAAAAGACTCGGTAGAATCTTTGTACTGTGGAGACGTAGATCAGATGTAATGGTTGTTGAAGTGACTGCATGTTTCCTTCCAGACCAGCATCGATGAGCATGGAGGACGCCTCACGCTCTAAGCCACATGTAGCTGCTCTCTTTCCTCTCTGTTTACTGTCCTAATAAAAACTAAGGGTCGCCTTCTGTGTGTCTGATGATCTGATGATCTGTGCTCCTGTTTTCAGCTCTTCTGGTGACAGAAGTCACTCATTATTTCCTCAGGGATGGAAAGCCCAGCCCTCCCATTCTGCTGCTGGGGCTCTGCCAGACCAGCAGGGTTGGAAACGTTACTTTGAAAAAGTACTTAGATATAGTTACTAGTTACTTCTGCCAAAAGTAACTGAGTTACTCCACAATAAAAGTAACTAGTTACT